ATACATACATGCATGTGCAGTTTGTTTTCACACACACTTTAATTAAACTTGAATGAAACTGATTTATTTCCAGTAAGTTTAAGCAGCTGCTCAACTTCAGCCTTATTGATTATCGTGTTAGTTTTATTAATAATTAATAAATCAGTCATTGATCTTCAGGCTTTTTAATAATAATTATCGATCCGTATCGATCCCCTCTCACCTCCCTGGCGATCTGGCTCAGAGCATCTTCATCCGCCGTCAGCTTCTCCCGGTTCGGGATCCTTTTGCGACCCGGTCCTTGAGTTCCCATGATGGTTCTGGACGGGTCAACCTGCAGCCGAATTATCCTCCGAACCCCCTCGAAGTCCGAGACATCCGGTTCCGGAGCTGCAGAATTCCCAGGCTCTTTTTATTCCGGGACTTTTTTTTTTGACGCAGTTCGGTTCAGTCAGCTGGTCCCGGGTTCTGTTGAATTCATCACTTTGACACGAAATTACTGGCACCGGTCCATGAGAGTCCGGATCACTTGGATCTGCAGTGTCAGTCCAACAGAACTAGAACTAAACATGGATCAGGACGATCAGWGGTGGTTCGGAACAGATGTTCTCGTGTAGCAGCCGCCGAACCGAACCACCGATCAGGAGTCTTCGGCCGCCTGTTCAGGGACCCGGTCCGTCTGGTTCCGGAACCTGATCGGTACCAGAACCGCAGCTCGGTCAGGTGGGCTCAGGTGGGCCGCTGCTGAGCAGAACCGCTCTGATACCGCTGACGCAGCAGCGGCGGAAATTTCACTACAAAATAAAAGTCTTGAAAGGAAGTAGATTGTTTTTCTTGTTCATCAGAGAAACATTTTTAGCTTAATGAAAAAAAACAACAACTTATAATATATAATAACAAGTTATGATCAGAGTTGTAAAGGAACTACATACAAATACTTTGTTACGGTACTTAAGTATAATTTTTGGGTATCTGGACTTTACTTGAGTAATTATTTTTCAGCCTACTTTTTACTTCTGCTCCTTACATTTTTTTTTAAAAAGGCAAGAAGTAAAAAGTTGTTACTTTTATTTCATTTTTGCTTGTTTTCATTCCAGCTTGTTATTATAAAAAATAAATACTATCCATATAAATTGTGCTTTCTGGAGAGAGTGAATTTAATTGTGGTTGAATGAGAAGTATAAATATATACATTTCTGATACCGTATTAGTTTGTGCACAAACAAATCATGTCACACTCCAGCAGCAGACATAATCATTAAAATAAAAAGGGCTGTATTTAAGACTAGTGCATCCTAAATTTAACATAAATGAATTATTTTTAATATACTGTAACAGTCATTTATGCATTTTTTGGGGAGGTCACCTCCTAATAAATGTCATTACAGAAAATCTAATTGCGCATTTTAAATCAATACTTTTAATACTTAAAGGGCCTATCACACTAGACAGCTTATGCCAACTTATGAACATTTCAAAGATGTCTACGTTGAAGCTGGAATTGAAAGATCAACAGGAAGCTTATTTTTGGTGTGTACATAATGTAATTCTAACAAACTGATAAAATATATAACTTTTATTAGCAATTTAGACATAAAAAGTGTTTCATCATAAGTTGGCATAAGTTATCAGTGAGACAGGGCCGTTAGTACAAAAATATATCATATATGTTAAGACTTTTACTCAAGTAATATTCCTTCTTCTTTTTTTGCCACTTCAGTAGAAAGCAGAAC